CCCAAACCATTCTATGATTCTATGAAAATAACTTGGTTTCAGGGTAGTCTAATCATACACCCATTTCTCTGATTATTTGCCTGTGTTTGCAACTAGGAAGGAGAAAAATCACAAGAAACTCTCCAGAACCTTCCAATGCCCAAGGATGGCATCATATTGCATTGGCATGATCCTCTTGTGAACTGTATTAACAAAACTGCAATTGTGCAAAACGTTGCACACATGCTAGAGCCTGGCTGACTGCATCACTTTGGCTAACAGTGCCGAGTCCTGCCATGCCTCATTTCTAAGCCTACCAACTCACCATAAGACCTCCAGATCTTTAATACGCAGCTGCTTTAAACAGCAGGGTGAGGAGTTAGGTACTGCAGACTGAGATTCATTTATCGTGCTGTGCTGCCTAAAACATCCAGCAGGAAATGGGACTTACAGGGTTTTCTCAGGAAGAGGGAAGCTGGGTTGCCTACATGCTAGGTAAGTAGCACTTGCTCACCAGGCATGTTTTGTGCAGGGCCTAATCCAGTAAATGTGCTCTGAGAATGTTTAACAGATTAGGCTCTCATAGCTGTTAGTCCAAAATGCCTAATTAGGTATCTAACTAGTACCTTAACAACTGGGTTTTCTAAGATTTTTGCTTATGCAAATTCCTCCTTTTCTTTATAATTTTTCACAATATTTTCAAAGCAAAAAAAATTCTGGGAAAAAGCACTAATTTATAGTGAAAAGAATCCTAAGAAGAAAATGAGACAAAGGGATTTTCTCTGCAAAAACTAAATGGCTATATCTTGAGGAAAAAATGTTTCCAGAGGTATTGTGAAAAAAACAAAGAAAATCACCAATCATCAAATAGTATGTAATTTCATGAAAAATTCTGCCCAGTTGGTGTCATTTTTCATTAAAAAGGAAACCATGTAAAATACCAATTAGTCCTCCACAAATTGGATAGTTGATGTTTGGCAGGGTTTGCAGGCCTGAATCCATGGACTTCATCAACAGCACCACACAGAATTCTTTTATAGCTTTTCAGATTCACGCGCATGGATAGACATATAAAATGTTATTTTGTCACTAGGTCTGTGGAAACTGCCAGTTGCACATTTTTCTCAGGACAGTTATGGGTAGCTAACCCTCTAGGCAGGAGGAACAGAGGCAGCTGACATGTGCTAGATGCTTTGCGATAACAAGTACATTTTTTCCCCAATCAAAGAATCTAAGATGATCCTTAGATTTAAATTCTTAATCTATAATTAAGAAAAATTCAGTCCTGTTAAAGATACACACTGGTGCACTGCACGTACAGAAACAATACTTCCTGCTATCAGCTGTGCTAAGAGACTGTCTCTACTACAAACAAACTGGTGATTAGATAAATATGCATTAATGGAAATGACAAAATTACCCTCAGTAAAGAATCATAGAATTATAGAATGATTCTATGATTCTAATACAAACACACTGGTGATTAGATAAATATGCATTAATGAAAATGACAAATTTACCTTCAGTAAAGCGAGCACTGAAGCCCCTGTGCTGGATGGTTGTATCGGAATGCAGTCGGATGTACATCACATTCTTGGAGGATGTGATAGGAGGAGGATGCTGTGTCCCACAGAGTTTTCTAAGAAGTGGTGCTTCATTGCTAGGACCATCAAACACCTGTTATGAAAAGATCAAATGAAGTGTTTGGTTTGAATAGGAGTATTAAGAAGACTTTTATTTCATTCCCTCTCTTATGTTTCATACATTTTGATGTTGATGCAGCCCTGGTATGGGCACTGCAAACAAACTATGCATTGCCTATCTTAATTCTGTGGCCATTTTCAAAAAATACATGTATTTCACACTGAAGTTACTGTAGTCTTCATAACAAAAATGCATCAAGTAACCATCTTTCTCTGTGTGTATCTGGTATGCAAGCAACTCTTCTTTAACAATCCAGATATCCCCATACATTGTTTTCTGTTAATGGCTAACATGAGTTCCGCTGTAGTTTGCATTCAGTTAAACCCTACATCTTGCCTCAGTAAAGACTTCTAAATTGTCCCTAACACGCAACTAGTGCACCAGTGGGAGCGAGGACTGTTAGTAAAAAGAGAAGTCATGAGGATTATGGTTTTTAGATACATGTATCCAGCATCAAGGATCAGAGTCCATACATCTATGCTTTGTAATAGCTTTAGGGTGCTGAATTACACACATAGACATGAAGTGTTATTTAAGCAGAGGGTAAAGAAAAGTAAAAAAAAAAAAAGGAGAAAGCAAGCAAAGATGGTTTTACAAAACTTCACTTTTAATTTTACCACAAATGCCTTCCTTCTCTTTTTTCCCCTTACAGCTGATAATTTGGTTTCCTTCCTCTCTGTTTCACAATCAATCAGGAAGAGGATAGTAAAGTTAAAACCAATGAGTTTCTAGCTTAAGCGACATCAAAATTATAACAAGAGAAACTACAGAGAGGGAAAAATAGCCACAGTCTCAGTGTCCCACTAATCTTTCTCAGTACTCCAGCGAATGTGATTTGTTGCTGCTGTGTTTGGAGCCATGGGCCAGTCTCAGAGCCCTTCTGCCTGGTTTCAGAAGTGATGAGCACAGTTGCATGATCCACAGAGGAAGAACCTTTGGGGTACTGGGCAGCAACAAGAATTGAATTCAGTTCCTGTTTCAGCATTAATGTCCTGCATTACCATAGGCACATCATTTAATATAACCTCTGACTCCGCTTCCTACAGCAAAATGGAGAAAAATATGGATAAAAATATGGACTGGAAGATATTCAGGTGCTAGGATGTTAAAAACTATATAAAAGCCCACTTTGAGACAAATAATGCCATTGGGTTAGAAGAAATGTACTTCTTATTAAGATTGTCTTCTTTTACTTCAAAATGCCTCAAATTCCAGCAAGTCTGTGCACTGATGAATTAAAAATTTCTAACTAACTAGAGTGTATAACACAGTGTTTCAGCATCCAGCATTCAAAGGCCTTTGACCACATTTGTGAAGAAAATATATAAAAACAGTAGCTGAGAAAACAGTGACCTGTCTCAAATAAACCTCAGAGCTGAGAAACAAAGGACAAAACTCCTGCTTAATCCACTGCTATACCCTACAGAGCCAATGCCGTTTTCATGCATTAAACATTTGCCCTTGGGCCTATAACACTAGCTGGCTGTGTGGGACCTTGTGACGGGGTATTAAGTGTATTGCAATGTCTGTAAAAATGAGTACCTGGTAAGGAGACCGAAAATAACCATCCATTCAACCTTTTCTTCTCTCTTGGCATGCTGCCACAATCAGCCCTTTAATACATAGCGTGCAGTGTTTATTCTTCCCCTGCACATATATTCCCTATATAAATCAGACTGCCTGGAGTTAAAAAACCACAAACCATGGAATGTGGAAAAAAAAGTAAGGACTAATAAAATAACCCTTAGGAATTAGGGTACTATCTTTCCCTAGACAGTAGTGAGAGGATTTTATCTGAAAGCCAGAACTGAGAGTAAGCATTGCATTGACAGACTGCAGAGAGAGGACCTGACTACAGTTCACGTAAACTGCTGGTTTTGATGGATCTGTGCCACTCTGCACAGCTGAAGATATGACCATTGATATAGGGGCCACTGTGAGACTCCAGTAGTTGAGCTTTCTCACTCGGGAAGATATTAAGGATGAGTAACAGAAGAAACTAAGGAGGCATTTCATTCCAAGAGCTTTCTGGAATAAAGAAGTCTTTCTGTGGTAATACTGGGAAAAGAGCATGAAGTCAGAGGAATGTTTTCTAAATCAAGTGTATTTGCTGTTTCTGGGCAGCTTGCTTGAACAATAGTACTGTCTCCTCTTTCAGAAACCCAGAAATGATTCCTAGCCTTTACACTTGGTAAAAATCTGATTCAAGCAACAGTTCAGCATAAGCATTAGTGAGATACTGCAGCAACTCTTAGGGGTTATGACAGTTACAAGTTAAGCAGAAACAGTAACACATGGATACTGTATGGCTGCATCATTTTTGCTCACCTGCTCTTTATTAGCTTAAACTATTTTATAGGGAGGATTTCAGTCTTGAATCTAGATCAGAAACCACAATATTCACACACTTGTTCAGGAAAGAGTTGTGTCTCTCTGCAGCTTCTTAAAGTTATTTTGAAAACATCTGAGAAATACATTTCTGTGGCTGCATGAGTAAAGGAAAATGATGCATCTGCTTACTGAAAAGCCAAGTTTTCATCTGCACTGTGCATAGCAGCAATTTGCTCTTCTCTTCCCTTTCCACAATTAACATAACTGAGTGACTCATTGTCGTCTTGTTCAAATTTGTCCTGCATTTTGTAAAAGCACATGACAAAAGAAGATATTTTTTGTCTTCTGAGCCATAAAAACTCCACATATTTCTAGCTGTCCTCTCTTGGAAGATCCCCTCTGCCAGCACCTGGAAAAAACGAAGTCATACCTCTTCTCTAGCTCCCAGAGGCTTACAGTTCTACATTCCTGTGTACTACTTGTTATACTGCAACAGGAAAGAAAAATAACATTTGCTTAATCAAAGCCACTGAAAAGAAAAAACTATTTCTCCCTGCCCTTTTGAGTGCCTTGTGCTACAAGCACTGCCCTCCAAGGCACGTCCTCCTCGAGTCTCCAAATACTTGAAACTCTTACTGACCTGCACTTCTGGTGTAGCGTCAGTTACAATACTGGTTAAACACATGAGCAAAAAATACAGGAATTAGCACATTCACTATTTCTTTCCTTTTATTTTCCTTCAAAGAAACAAATTGTTTGTTGTAAGCCACACTCTCCAGATACAAATGGGCTGGTACACAAAGAGAAATTAAAAATTTATTCCTTATATATGGTGACAGTGACAGCAAAAAGCCTTCTTGAAGATCTTATGCTTTCTACAGAAAACAACCGATCTATATTTGAGATCAGAGAAAGTAAAGGCTAAACATCCTCATTTAGCAGATGAAGAGAAGTTCATCTGTTCTGAGAACAGATAAGTTACAGAACTGAGGCATAGAAGCTGAGGAATCTACTAAATTTAGGCAGCTAAGTGAATGAAGAATGTGCTTTTTGGTGGCCTGGACTGCTCTCTGTGCAGTCCATCCATTGACTCTAGAGGGAGCTCAGAGCAGTTACACCGGGGATTACCGTTATGGGTTTAGAATTCATTTGGCTGAACCTAGATCTGTGCTCAGATTTACATGTGAAATCATTTAGCAGATTGAAAAACGCACTGGGCTTTTTGGAGTTGCAGCATAGCCAAGAAGCAGCAGAAATGAGTGGTTTCCCTCCCTCCAAATGTGCACCAGAAAACATTACAGAAAAAAACCAAAACATTTTAATGTGTTCCCCATAGAAAGGAATTTATGGTAGGGGAAAAAAAAATCTGAAGTCATAAAAGAGGGAAAAATTACTTGATCTAGAAGGGGAAGGATGAAGGAAAAGGCCATTGATACACTCTAGGGTGGAGGGGAGCCCCAAGAGAACTCACAGAGCAAATAAAATCCATAAAGATAAGTAAAAATTTAAGAAATAGAAAAGGGTGGAACCACTGTGTTACTCATACATAGTAGTTGTTCCTATATCAGAGAGAGAAAAACAACCCACCAGCTTCCTTAACTGCGCATATTTTCCATTTACGCAGCTTTTGGAATGCAAATCCTAAATCATTCACAGTCAGACATCTACTTATATATTTCCAGGTGCTCTCTGTCCCCCTGACTCTGTTCTATTACTGTGTGAGGCATATAGCAAGCCTTGGAATGAGATGAACACAAATCACATACAGGTGTTGGTAACAAGTGATTTTCTGCTTATTGGCATACCAGGTAGAGAAAGATACCCCATCCACACCTTTCTTGCCCTGCTGGTCCCCCTACATTAGCACTGAAGAACTCTTCTCTACCTCATGCACCAAAGCCTCAGAGCCCTTCATTATCTCTTGGCTTCAAATCAGCATTCTCCCTCATCCATTTTCAAACCACCTTTCACTTGGTGGGCAGTGATTGATGCCTGCATTAAATTTCAATCTCCCTCCCTGCTTACATTGCTGCTTCAGTTGTGTTTGCTGGGGCTGACGGGCAACTTCCTCCTCCACCACGCCCAAAAAACCAAAAAGCAGAAGCAAACAACCGATACTCATATGGCAATAGAGGAAAAGGGGTGGAACTGCGCTGCAATGGCCTGCAAACTCCACTCATGCAAAGAGCTCTGCCACAGCCATCTCCTCTGCCAGCTGAAGGACTGATTGATGCCTTTCAGCAATTAAAAACCCAGTGCCTATATCCAGCCTATAAAAGTAATGCAGTTGTGCCTGTGATTGCAAGGAGCTCATGGGGCTGAGTACTCCACAAAGTGTTTAGATAGGTACATACATCCATTGGCAACAGCTCTAAAAGAGAAACTTGTATATCAGGTCTTTTCAGAATTTAGCCCTTAATTTGGGAATGTTTTTGGCATTTTTACCAGTAGTGCCATTTCAGATGGCCCATGTCAGGCATTCTGATTTTCTACTCCTGTGTGATATCACAGAAGAGTTGGAAATTTTTCCAAGTAGATTTTCCCTTTCAATGATCCCCCTGATGTAGTCAAACAATTTAAATAAGAAGACATAACCATATTTCTCTTTGCCTCAGAACCACAAAAAAAAAGAATGGTCATTGTACAAAGACACTTTGTGGCCAAATGAAATCTTCAGTTATGCTCAGCAAAATGGGGACGCGTTTCCTTTTTTCTCATTCAGTACAAAAAAGCTTTACGAGGCGATGCTGTTAAAACTGATGTTGTTTTCAAAAGAGTCTCAGTTCCTGCCAAATTGAGTTCTCTGTGTGAATGACAGTTTATCAAGGAGAGGAAAGCTGGATTTTGGGCTACAGCCACTGTGCTTTCTCTGACTGGTAGTGATCACCCATGCCTTTGTACTGAGTGAAGTGCAATCCAACATCAAAGGTCAGCATTTCATGTCCCTGCTCCCAAAAGGCCAAGTGGAGACGTGGAGAGTTCTTCGTTATCGTGCACTGATTGAGCAGCAACTTGAATTTCTCTGACATCAACAAAAGTTCACAAACAAACAGCAGTGTGAAGCTTTTAAGAGAGCAGCAGCTCTAATGAAGCAATTAAATAGACAGCTGAGGAGCACCTGAATACACAGTGCACACATAAAGAAAACCATCCAGTCACTCCTGAGTTTGTAACAGAGTGTGGGCAATCCATTACATATGTGGGCTGTCCATCCTGTGGCTTGGAACAAGCCAGGGTAAACTGCTCTATAAATGGCAAAAGGGTGTCATAGTAACAGCCATCTATGTATGAGGTTATTCCTGCAACACTAACTACAACTCACACCACCAAAAGGAAAAATATGGTGCCAGGATGTGGCATGCACTGCTTTCAAGAAAAGATCCTTTCAGATATAAGTGGGAACCTGGAAGAATGCAGAAATACATTTGCGAAGCCTGTTTCTTTGCTGAAGCAAAGGGTACTAGATCATAACTATTTAGCTGTAAATTTAAGCTGTAGCTCATCGGTGAATAAATATGACTATTCAACTACCACTCTGAAACCAACTGCAGCCTCGGTTGCGCAGTAAGCTTCCTCTTTTGCAAGCATTTCACCAGACTCAATAAGGAAACTTGAAACTTCTATTGTTACTTACTGCAACATTGTCATAGTTACAGGAGTGGTGATTTTCAATGTCAAAATCCAAGAAGTTCAATAGGACTCTGTGGCTGTAGTCCACTTGGATAACCCAAGAACAATCTGTGTTGTTATTATAAGGTTGAGGATAGTTTGGAGAATGGATTTCCCCACTGGTTGCTTGGAAAATACCACCACAGCCTGAAAAAGACATCATCAGTTTTAATCAGAAGCTCTTTTATGCTTAGCAAGATTCCACCTCTATTTTTAAACTAAGGGAAGAACACCTCCATCTTTATATTTTCTACATTAAACTTTTGTAAGATGAGTGCTTCAACTGTTGAAGCCTCCTGTCTGCAACAAAAATCAATGGAAATGATTATCAGAAAGTATAACATTATCATTATTGGTGAATGTGCAACAACAGTGCTTATAAGTAATGTTTCTTTCTAGCCCCAGGCTGGTAGTAGATGCCATAAAGGCTGAAGCATTAGTGATGGTATTCTTCTATCCTAGATATTGTAAAAGCAATCAAAAATACTGTTCATATGAATGCCACAGACCTAGCATACTGAGAAAGCAATGTCTAGGCCTGGCTGGGCATAGGGATGAGAAAACTATTTCTGAAAATATCAAGTGAGCTAGGAGCTTCACTTTTCCCATAAGCAGTACAACAATTGCAAGCCTCAAGTTTCTGCTTCTCTACCCATGCAGCTGAGAGCTTCCTCAGGACTCCACCCTCAGGTATTTCTGACCAGAACAGCTCCACTGCTCATCAATATCTAAATAGCTAGAATGAGGGATCCTGTGAGGGAATTGCCAGGGCTTTCAATAGGACTGCACAAACAAATGGACTTTTATATGTTGTAAAGAGATGGAGGAGGGTGAGAGACAGACATGGGGACTGCTGTAGATGGAGGTGGCTTGCTGGAAGGACAAAAACTATACTGTTACTGCGTTCTGGTGAGTGGGTATTTTAGAGGCTAGAGGGGGGTTGGAGTACAACAAGGAAGATGCTGTATAGGGATGAGAAAACTTCAGGGGGCCTAAGTAGAAAAAATAACCTGCCAGATCATGGAAGGGGATTAATTCAAAGGACTATTGTCGACTTCTTCTATTCAAAAAAACTCTTGTGCCTTTCTCATAAAACTTGTGAGAATGGAGAAGTATAAACCTTGACAAACTAATGAATCTGTGTGCTTAATCAAGCAAAACTGCAAGATTTAAAATCTGCCTCTCCTCACTTTTCATTGTAATTATTTTCCAATAATTGGCCTTTTCATAAGAACTCCCATGTAGAGACATGCGGTTGGGTCTTTTAAGCGTGTCTCTTCTTTTACTGATTACCAGTAGGGCTTTGAACAAATAATCACATCAGAACCTTATAATGTTCAAGTATTTACTAATCACTCCAAATATTTTTGGAGTCCACTGAGTTCTCCATGTTAAGCCGCATTCCTATGTATTTTTCACTTTATAGTTTAAAACCAAAAGCACCATTCAGCTAATAGAGGACTCTGTGTGGGTGAGTCAGTGGGTGAGGAGACCTGCTAGCATGCAAAAGTTCTTTTCTGATTACAAGCATGTCTTGATTAATGATGTAGAGAAGAAACTCCAACAAGGTAGACTGTTACAAAATAAATAGGCCTAGATTTTAGCTAGTTAGACAATTTTTTCCTGTGTTTTTCAGCATTTCTTAGTGTTACTAAATCCAGTAACACTCAAATTCTCCTTCAGTTTTCAGCCCTATGCTGTTTGACTACTTTAAATGCTTGCGTGGCTGATCCGCAATTCTCAGACTTCCTGAATTTCTCCTGCTATTAATCAGTATACTCACCACCCGGGTTTTCCTGCCAGGAAGCATTAAAACCTTTCCCTGTCACTGCTGCATCTGTCTTGAAATGGACAATGGCTGAATTGCCAGTAGTAGAGACTTGGAGTGGGTTCTGTGCTGATCTTGAAACACACAACTGGGCTAGTCTAGGAGAGAGGAAATCAGGGCCACCATACACCTAGAAATGGAAGAAACACTGTCAAAGTTTTTCAAAGAGACCATCTGTCACATAGAATACATGAGAACTGCTTTGCTAGGAGAAAAAAAATCTTTAAGTATTGAAAGTGATTCCACATTTTGAAATGCAAAGTAGCTAATAAAATTATTTTCTCTGCAGGTTTGCTTGGTATCTGAACCACTTAGAGCGAGTATGACATTCTGGATGATTTCAAAACAGCCTTGCTCTAAATAAGAATTTTCTGCTTTGCGGACTTTGCCACATTCTTCTTCCCTCATCGCTCCAGGGTTAGCACCTTGTTTCTGTGGGGATATAAACCCAGATTTTTTTTGTGTGCTCGTGCAAACAAACTGTAGCTTTTTGCAGGAACTTGTGCTGATAGTTTGTATTTTGCACCCTTTATGTTTAAAGGGACAGTTAAGACTGATTTTTAAATTGGGGGTAGATTTCATCACTCTTTCTGATAAAACAAAAAAAAGTGCAATTTTAATGCCTTCAATGGCAGAATCAACATCCAAACTATGGCATTTTCGTTAAGTAAACTACATTTTAATAACACTCTTTGGAAACAAGGATATATAACATACATACTTCCCACAGAGGACAGGTTTTGACTTTTGAGAGTAATTACTTCCTACTCAGAAGACTGTGCCTCAGGCAGTTATAAACCAGAAAACCACCACGCTCTTAAACATCATCAGCTGTATTGTGTACTTTATAATGCATTTTTAAACCAATTCAAGTTAAATAGATGGCAGTGCTGAAGCCTTGTTAATCCTGTTGCTTGTTTTCCAAAAGGGATGTGGGATTTTAGTTTGAGCCCACTTATAACTGGTGGAACTTGCTCACCTTCCTTAGTCTTCCCTCTCAAAGCTAAAGAAAACACACATGCCCAGTGCAACTTTCAAAACCAGACATGATTTTGGTGCTTAGTGCCTTCAATGATTGAATTTTCTTGGCTTTTTGCATGCTAATGAAATGCCACCTGATATTAAAGGTCTTTGACCTACTATGGTGTGTCCCTGGTAAGACAGCAGCTGCAAAAGTCAGCTTCACAGTAACATCAATGTGAAAACTGTTAAAGAAATACACCAAATAAAGAGTGAGCGTGCCGTTGCCTTTCGGCAACTGAACTAGTAATAGATACTCATTGTATCAGCATATATTATGTATAAATCCTAAAGCTAAACTAGAGAATGGCAAGTTCTAACAACAAAACCAGAGAATAGGAAGATAAGGCAACAAATCCCATCAGGATTTTCCCACCTCTAACAGCTCAAGTCTGCTCCAATATTTTATTAGTCTGGTAAATATCAAAAAGGTCAAAAAAAGCAATCCATGAATCTCCCCAGAAAGTGACATTACTATAAGAACCAACCTTCTGTATGGCCCTTTTGCCTCTGATGTCTTCTAGAGGAGGGGAAACTCAGTATTTAAATAAACTTTGTCAAATACTTTTTAGCCTCAGAAGAAGTCTAGGTTCTGGCCAAGCTAAATATCTGAGCAAGTCTTAAAAATAGCTGAGCTAGTCCTACCACCTCCAGGGCTACGTGTACTGCATTGCTACATAATTTGATTGATCATGCACTCACTAACTGCTCATAGTGCCTGACACTGCTCTGCCATTAGAGGTACAAGGGAAAGAACTTTTTTTTAACTGGAAAAAATTTTCAGTGACTCCAGAGTAATGTGAGACCTCAGAAGCTGAAGCTTGCATCCCCAGAAGAAACAAGGAATCAATTTTTTTATAAACATCATAGTCTGTTAGATGTTCAGAAGACTGTATTTTGTTTTAGTGGCTGATTGCACAGACTTAATAGCTTAAACATTTCAATTTTGACTGAGACAGCATTTTTTTGCATTCTGTAGGGAGGCTGCATGACTGGAATGGATAATGGTTCTTCTGTCCAATTGATCATCTCAAGGCATTCAAGAGAAGTCAGAATGGATGAAATCACAGCTCAGATTAAGAATCTGTAATGAAGGAGTCACAGTCTGGGGAAGAAGCATGTTTGTCCACTGGAGGCTCAGTGTCTTCTGCAAAATCTTACGGTTTGGCTGCTTGTGAGGCCCAATGACAGCTGCATTTGTCAGAAGTCTGTTCAAAATGTGAATTTTAAAATGTGTTTGTGGTACACTCCCTGAGTCAGAGCCACAGCATGAGATCTAGCAGGAACACATGCTCTTAATCATCTAACCCAGCACAGAGAGGCTATGTGGCAGAGGAAACAGCAGGAGTTTCTAATATGCATCTAATAAGCATCACGGACCAGCCTCTCACATCATCCCTGGTGCTCCCTGGGGCCATCTGCACACCATGGGCAAGGGGACCAAACCCAGGCCTGACATAAACCCTGCTGATTTCTGTAGTATTACCTCAGAAATGAACTTGGCCAAAGCTGAACACGTATAGTTGACCTTCTGGAAGAGAACTAAGGATGGGGAAGAAATATTGATGGAAATCTGAGGTTTGTGGGTCTCCTTTACATTGTTAACTGTTCAGCAACGGCCTTCTGCACAGTTTCAAAATTAAAAGCACAGTCAAAGGCATGCTCTTTACAGTTAGGAGTGTATTTTCTTTTCTCCTTTATGCCAGTTCAATTAATCAGATGCTTTCACAAGGGCTGGAACAAAAACAAATTAGAGTGTTTCCATGACAAAAAACAATAAAATGTTACTTTTGGCTGCAAAGAAGAAAACCAATAGTTACCACATGAAAAAAAAGAAGAGGGAAAAGAGAATGGATGGAAAGAATGAATTCCAGGGTGTGGTTCACAAAGAGTCACAGGATGTCTGAGTTGCAAACAGATAAAAATAAAAACATCTAGTCTGACCAGAGCACTTGATCTAGAGATAAAATGATGTTGGATGGCATAGCGGGGATGCAGGACACTGCCATAAAGCCCATGGTTTTAATCTGTTCTTATCATTTGCTTCTGCCCTGTTAGCTCCATTTATTGTTAGCAGTCAGCATTCCAGAGTTATGAGCAACAGAAAGCTGTATTTATGCGGTTGGTCACCCTCATGACACAGATTTTCTGGGAATAAAACTGATCCCTGTTCAGACATAACTGCCAGCAAAGAGAGAGCCTGCCTTTGACAGAGAATTAAGAATTACAGTAATACTTGATGTTTCTTTATATTTAAATGAGAAGACCAGAGCATCTAATAATGACTTGGAAGTGCAATTGATTGACAGGGTTCCTTCTTTTTCAGCTCAGAGCTACATCTTGTTGTGGCAGAATATATTTATAGTTTACAAAAATCTGGTGCATGTTAAAGATGTCATAATTTAACAAAGCAGACATGGTAATTTTTCTCTATGTATGTATTTTCAATAGAAGCCATTTTAAAAATATTTTTAACTCTTTCATTGTGTCCAAAATGATGGCTTCTATTTCCATGAAACATTTCTAGAAAGCATCTTTAAGAACAACTTAAAATTTGTTTCTGGATGTTTGTAAAAGGAATGGAATCTGATGGGGAACAGAGACAGACGGAGTGCAACAGTGTCATAAAAGAAACAAGGAGGAGGAGGATGAAAGGAGAACGTGTCAAACACTTGACCGTGTAGAAGCCATGGGAAGAACTTGCGGATTTCACACACAAAATTTTTATGTAACTATTATTGCACAGTCTTGGTGCAATATGACAGGACTGGGATACTAACATGGAAGGGACAGCTTGTTTAGGAGACATTGTCAAAGGAAAGGGAAAGGAGACAGTTGCTGCATTTTACAAGAACAAATATGTTTCAGCAAAATGTGCACGAGAGAAATATTCAAGAAACTATGGTATAAAAATGAAGTTAGTAGCAAAGATGCTGCGATGGGAAAGATCTCTCAGAATTTTCCTACAATTCTGTGCCAGGTCAAAGGAGTGAGGGTGTTTCTAAGCAAAAGCTAAATCCATCCAAGTGAGCAAGTTTTGTGATTACTGGGGCATTTTTATTACAAGGTAATATATTTTGGAAAAGCAACAGAAAAAAGTGCAATATATTGCAGCGTTCTAAAGACAGCTTCTTATTTCAGAGAGTAGAGACAGTAAACAGGACAGGGAGGGACAGAAGGGTGCAGAACTATTTAATACTGATTTTGGCTTCCTATTAAAGCTGAAAGTTTTTTGGCTTGAAAGAAAACAGGAAGCTGTAGAACTCACTATTCAGAGATAAGGAAAAAGTGAAATCAGAGGAATAATTGAGAAAAAGCAGACTTCAAAACCCAAAGAATTGGTAGACAGGATACTTTTGGGAAGATAATGTGAGAGTGAAAGAAGTTTGGAACCTTAGTGATCACTGAAACACACTGTCAAAGGCACACCAGGAACCTCTTTTTTTCTAACACTTTTCAAACTTTTGTGTGTGTGGTTTTCAGCCTGGACAGACATAGACAACTAAAGGAAAGAAGATAACAAGGTAGAGCAACTCCTGAAAATGATTAACCACATCCTTTTTTTCCCCATTAAATCTAAGTCATCATTTGTTCTGTACAGACTATATCAATCATGCAGTGAATGTGTAATTTTATAACAAAAGCAAGAAAATTTGTATCTCGCAAGGTACATAAAAATCCAGCAAATGCCTGCAGTTTGCGGGGGAAGCTGTTTGGTGCCAGAAACTTTGATCTTGCACTGAGACATGAACCAATTTTCCCCAATAAGTTGATTTATGTTAGGTTATCTGTCAGCAGATCAGAAATAGGTGTTGGGAATTGCATGAGCCAAGATTAGGAGACAAGTAACTCAGAGGCATGCCAATTCTGAGAGCAGGAAGGCAGGGAAGTTCAAATGGCAAGGTGGGCATCTGTGCTGATGAGTGAGTAAAGTTAGAAAGAAGAAAAGCGCAGCAACTAAGTTTGAAGAAGTAAAGAAAGAAAACCCAAAACCTAAGGTGAATACCTTGCTCAGGGACACAGAGCAGCAAACTGTAGGATCCCCTTAAACAACTTAAGCAATTTGCATCCAGCAACCCACTCATTGGTTTTAGGCCAGTCCCCCCACTAGTCAAAAACTTGTCAAGCAAATGGTTGCCAGCCATCTGTACTCTTACTGGATTGTGATAGCTCCTGGATGACCACCTGCAGATGTAGGCATTCAAGAAACGGCCAACCACAGCAGACTTAGATTTTGTAGCTGTTTAATGGATTCCTCCGGGCAACAGAGGCATATCTGAAACTTACAGGCAGATTAGCTTCAACCTAGTCATTTTAGGCACAAACATCAATGAAGCTGCAATACAACAGACTTCATCAGTACCCAAACCAGCCAACACAGGTCACCTACTCACAGACACTGGTGTCAGCAATGTGACATACAGTCATACCTGCCAATGCTACTGATGGAGAATTCATAGAACAATTTCCTTACACCCAGATCCTACAGAAGTCCCAAAGCCAACAGGATACTCAAAGCATGGTGTCCATTTAGTCAAGACTTCCACTTTATTGCTACGCTAGGAAAGCCTATGTCAGAGCCAGAAAGCTGGAGTTAAGTTATACATCTCTTCTACTCATGCAAATGCTTAGCAATCATCTGTCTGGCAACTATATATTTAGGACCTGCTTTGGGATGTGGGTTAAGTCTTCCAGGAATATTGCTGATGAGTGTGCACTGAGGACCATAGACTGGAGAAATCAAAGCTATAAAGGTGAAAACAGGCAGCAATGAGTATGTGTAGGTGCTGGACAGAAAGCTGTCTAGCTGTATGCTGCTCACACATCACATTACCCAGGCGAAGAGGAGAAGAAAGGCCCCAGAGGATTGATACAAGATGTCTAAATCGATCTTTTGCGTTCATTACAAAAACATTCAAATGTCACCTGTGTATTAACATCCAAAGACCCAACAACTGTACCTCCATCTAGTGAGAGCTATCTAGAAAGTCTATACTTCTAAAGAATTTCTTCCTGACATTATTTCCTATCCCTTCTTCCTGCACTGGAAGTCTCTGTTAGCTGGGATGGGTCACTTGGCTGCTTCCCAACAGGAGCACAAAGATGTCATATACAACAGGGCCATCAACCCTTATGGGTCTCTTAAAGGTCAGTAAAGCCTTAGAGAGGTCCCTTTTCTCCTTGTTCCACCACCCTGACTAGGTCAGGGTGTTCCACCACAAGCTGACTAGGACACTGCGTCTTCTTTTATTCTTTTTCTGAGTACAAAAGATTCTTCATAGTTTTCAGCACTCAGGGTTATAAATCTTCCCACTTCCTTGGAAGGTCCTACGCAAGGTCTCATCTCAGTTATCCCCCTGGTGATCCATTATCTTCCTTTACATCAGGAAATTTTATCTCCATGGTACAGCACCCCACACTGTGTTCTTTGTAAAAGGTGGACTTTTTAAGACTCTTTTTTTCAAAGCAGTTTTGTCTCTTCTTAGGAAGTGTACAGTGTCTAGCATCATTATTGATTAAGGTATACAGACATCAAAGGCCTAAAAGCAAAAAATAACAAGAGCATTGTGGCTTCTGTGACATCTGTGGAACTAATTGTAACCACAGCAGAAATGGGAAATTGCAGTAGAATTGTTTGTTCTGCTCCTACAGTTTCTGGGATTATCTGCTCCAGAAGGAAAAGTATGTAACTTGTTCATTTTTGAGGAGTAAATCTAATACTCTTACCTCCAAAATATCGTAGCTGCAGTTTGGGTGATATTCAATGTCGAATTCCTGAATGGTGAGTTGAATGCTGCTACCAGGCGTTGTGTGAATGTACCAGATGCATTCCCTATTGCTTGGGTATCTGTTGGGGTAGCCAGGGCTGTGAAATGAACCAGAAGGGCCAGAGAGTTCTCCTCCACAACCTGACAACACAGCAAAGCAGCCCATCAGTGAGGGGATCTGGAAAAACTCACTGACAGCTCTGCAATGAGGACAGACATTAGCACCCATTTCATGCACAAATGTGTATATGGGGCTTGAGGGTCCGAGGTTTAGCAGGGAAGAGAAACTCAGGTACAGCAGGCTGGACCTACTGGCACTGCCAGTAAGCACTTCACCTCCTGTTTTGGCATGTTTCTCACCATACATCAGCATCTGCTTCAACAGCTGAAGAAACCGAGACACAGAGCAAAAAAGTGACATTTTTGTATGGGCCTCTAACTTTGATCAGTTCTAGAAAGCTGAATCAGATCCATCCTCAGCTGTTACTGACCTCAACTAATACACAGACTAAGTTATCATGGGGAGGGCTTCCTATTGTTGTAAAAATACCATTTCCCACTGCTTTAGAAATCATAAAATTAAAGACAATGCAATTTCTCTCAGCCCACTGAGCATGATTACAAGCTGCCACATCACAGTGAATAAACTGGCTTTCTGACATTTGGTGAGTTTAATGGTCTTTTTTTTTGAATTGTAACTGTGCGATTGTAAGACATGCTATGGTTGAAAAGTTTTGTATTTTCATTTCAGATAAGAAACTATTGCCCTAACCTCAGTCCCCAGCCATTTGGATGACTAAGTTCTTGCATACTGTGAGCTAGATTTAAAAAAAAAAAAAAAAAAAAAAAGAGATGCAAAACAATGGATCGAATTGAGGCCCTGATTTGACAGCACAAAGCAGCTGGACACCTGAGACTGCAGTTTTGTGACTGCCTTATGGAGATGTGGCAACTGTTGCACTCACCTCCTTTTGTTGAGTTCCTGGGAAGAGGCTCTCCCTATCCCAGTCCCTGGGTGCAGGTGTCAGCAGCGTGGGAAGGCACAACGGCCCTTCCCAGTGCCAGGGCAGATGTAGATCAGCTAAATTCATGGTGAAACCTCACCTTTAGAGAAGCCAGTAGCGTTGTTGTGTGTCTGTCACATACAGAAAGCAAGGGAATTGTGGTTTTGATCTCATTTTATGTGAGTGTCGCTCTGGCTTGCAGCAGCATTTTTTTTCTTCTCTACATTACCAGCCCCCGGGTGCTTCATTTAGCACTAGCTAATCTTTTGCTTACACAGCTTTTAAGGGGTCACTCAAGCATTGTAAGTAAAGCCCACGCTCCATCAATCTCTTTGGCTTCATCTCCAGAGGGAAGGTTCTGTCACATAGCAAAAAAGCCCCAAAATACTTAATAAAACCATCTAACAAACCATGAGCTCTATATTCCCAGAGGCCAATACTGCGGTATGTCAGAAGTGATAAATAGCATCTGTATCAGAACTTTTAGTTATAGGAGATATTTTGTAGCATAAACCAAATAAACGACCCTTCTGACCAGCCTAACTAATCCATATGGATGTGTTAAACTCCCGTAATCTCTATGAGTCTATGCATAATTTGACACCTGAACAAGGTATCTTTGGCCATTGCTCTGCTTAACTTTTGTTTTTTTTTTTCAGGAAAGTTAAATCAAGATCTTCAATAAAATACAAATACTTTCCTCAACACCTCCTGTGACAAACTTGTGGTTATTGAAGGGTGGCTGCCCCAGAAGCATTTACCATCACCTCTGCCATGGGGTCTTTCAGCTTCTCACTGAAAACTTGAGTTTGGCTTTGCCACAATTGGCTCTAGGACTCCTAGGACTGCAAAATACGAATCTGTGAGAGGAAAGAGCAGCAAGTCTGAAAGGCAGCAAAGCAATAAGAAGCTATTTTAAACTAGAAAAGAGCCATCTAAATGCTGATGTGAGGAAGACGTCTCCAGCCATGCCAGCAATATAACACAGGTCTCTGTCAGTCCATCACCCAGTACTCACTGGAAAACCGCCTTTTAAATACAAGAATTCCCACAATTGAACAATGGTTAGCTATAACCCAGGAAAGTCTTTACATAGCTGAGGTGGACCTCACAGGTGAATTGGCATGGGCTTAGTTCTTCTCCCTTTTTCCCCACCTTGCTTCACGATGCTCCATAACCCTGAGGTGGTTTGCCCTGCAGCCACAAAACTACACTGTCAAGCTACCGGATGTCTCAGCCAAGGAGTAAAAGAAGCTTTTAAGTGTATTTGAAACCACTCCTGCCTTCAGTCCCTCTGGAGAAACAGAAAAAGTTAGTGCACTTACTTCCCCAAGGCCTGCCAGCACTGGTGGATAAATGTTAAGCCCCTGAAACTTTGATATCCATGAGCATTTCAGCAGAGACACAGAGAGGAAGAAAGCTTCAGGGTGACCCAGCACTCCATTTTTTCCCCAGTGCCATCAGAAGATGGCCTAATTTTCCTCAAAAGAAACCAGGTCGTTGGGTTTTTACTACTGGAGAAAAAAAAAAAAGGTGCTGGCAGGAGGGGAGCCTTACAGCTGGATTTGCAGGGTGAGTTACTCTCTTTCTTTTCCCTCAGCAGCAGGCATGACACAGCCGCTGAGGACAGGCTTCAGGAGGGAAAAGCTGCCTTGCCAGCTTGGGAAACAGAAAGATTTCTCAACAAACAGACTGGATGGCTCTGCTCCTGAGGGGGTGGGAATGGGGAGGCAGGGGAGTTTCAGCAGGCGAGAACAAAGCCAATTGCTATTTATCTCAGCCTGAAGAAAGCTGGGAACATTTTAAAACTAAACAGGCAGTTATGACTCAGCTTCTCCTACTAAGAGTTTCCTGATAGCCACAAAGACATGGTTTTTATTTAAACCCAAAATGGCTCAGATGAGTGGAAAGTTTGTGTGCTGCGCTTTGAGGCACAGACCTTTCTTGCTATGCAAACCCTTGCAGGTAGCATTCAGATTACTCATGCTCTCTCTCCAGAGGGGTTTATATTTTCTCTGAGCTCAATCGATATTCTCTGGATGAGGTATGTGAAGCACATGAATAAGAATGTCAAACTGTTGTTAATGTGCCATTTCTTTTCTTCCAACTACAAATGTTCTCAGAAAAGGCTTTTTGTTAAAAGAGAAGTGATTCTTCTTAAGTGCTCCAGTAAAATGGAAGTAAAGTTTAGACCTCTGTGATTCATTTCTCATAATGAATATGCTGAACTCCCATTGCCAATCATTTATTAATTGTTTGCAAACAGATCGGAAATTGCTTGAGTTTATGCCTAAGTATTCACTGACTAATAGCCGAAAAAATGACTCACTGATCTTTGCAAATAGGTGAACTTCACACGTGAACTATTTTGACTGACCTGCATATGCAAGCAGAAACCTCTATATCAGAGCAGAAACATAATCTCTGAACTCTGGCCAACTGGCAGAAAGTGTATATTATGTTTCTGCTCTTACATGGATGAGGTAAGAATCAGTGCTGTTGTGGTTTTTTGAGAATATAGATGCTAGATGATTTTAACAAAACATTTACAGAAATACTTAAGAAATTAAAACAAATGTTCCTGCCTTTAAACTCACTTGCTACATCTATGGAACACTAAAATGGGAAAAACTCAAATAATGATAGAAAAACTTTTTGAAATACTTACAAATGTTGTATGTGAAAGTTTGCCCAGCCTTAGAATTAAAAAAAAAAAACCAACCCAAACCAAAAAGCAAAACAAAAAAACCCAGAATTGTCCAGGAACATTGTTTCAAAATGAGCAGGAAACTTTGATTCTTTGATTCACTGACATTGCAGCTTATATTTCAGTTCCTGGAACATTATGGATCTTTACTATTCACAACCTTTTTGTCTTGAATATTTTAAAAAGGTGAATTTAGAATTTGATCCCTGATTTATTCAATGTCTTCCCCATTTTCATTAGGCACAAAATTCTTGTGGCATTATCCCTTTCTTTGATTGGCTCACAGATCCAAGCCATCAAGGAAAACTAAACTGCAAGTATTTTTCATATTATTTGTGTTACCTCTGAAGACAGATTCCCTGCCTTAAGATGCTTATCCTAGGCTTTGAAATCTGCCTTGGCAGATACTTAAAATAATCAGAAAAGATATCAAACAAATTACATTCATATGAATGGTGTTCAGGCTGAAGATGTACATGTAGATGCAGATGCATATTTTTTACATACATATATGAATATATGTATGGATTTTGCATTTAAAAGAAAAACTTGAGGAGAAATGCCAGTCCTGTTTTTTGGAAGCATGCGTTTGTATGTATCATATCCTTTTCCTATGTTTTGAGCAAGCTAAGAAATACATTTTGGTTTAACCTGGAATGTAATTCCCATACAAAACTAGCCTGCCTACTTTAATAAGACATTAAAATAGGAAAAGTTTGAATGATGATGTAATCATCTCAGCTAATTAAACTTCCTCCATCCCTGGCATTACCATTAAATGAACACAAACCTTCTCCCAATGTTTACATTTGTCTGCAAACATCAGATTAGAGTTTGCTTCTATTCAAATAAATGGAATTCGTGCTGCTTGTGGCAACAAAGTAAAAAAGATTTGGTCTTTAGGGGTAAATAAAAATGCAGAAGCAGAACCTATAAATTGCTGCATGACTTCAGCTCTCACTGAAATAATAGTGAATAATCTGAAACCATTCTGTTCTTCAAATGTTCTCAGCACAGAAATACACAGTCTTGCTGTATGTGGACAGATACACAGACAGCTGCACTGTGGAAACGTTTCTTTGAGCTCAACTGCATACGGCATATGCTCAGTTTGTGCAAACCTCCTTGCAGTCATTTTGGAAACTTCAGCCCTGCAGTTAAACTGAGGGAAAAAAAAAAAAGGAGGGGAGATACTCTTGTAGTAGTGTAAAGGTCTTGGAATTCCCTTAAAAATGCTTAAAACAACTACCTAACCTGGTGTTAGTTGCTAGGAAATCAGACAACAAATAGAAAGCTCAGGAAACATTATTTGGTGTCTTTGCTTTCCTCTGGCTAAAATCTAAGTAGTTATTGAAGATTGTGCAAGGGATGATTTATACATGTCTTTCCATATTACTGCCTGTCTGGTTAGCAGATGGTGTTCATTAACCAAAGAAGAATCCCTATTCTCATAAATAATTACAGCTGAATAGAGAAGTAGTAATCTGTGGAAACCTCTATTATTTGCAAGGTTTTCGGATTTATTCATGGCTATGTTTTAGCCACATGCTACAAAAATTCCTTCCATGAAGTTTAAAGTGAACTGGCACTCTTTCTGTAAAGTCAGTTAGGGAAATTAAAGGATTCAGAGTTGTTCGATTTGTTGTGCTCATGGTGAAATATTTCAGTAAACGTTAACTGAATCTAGCTGCAAGAAGCAGGTAGTATGCACATTTGCCTGTACTGCACTAATACTTGCATGAAGTATAACTTGGATTTGATTCTGAACTCTTTTGCGCTCTTGAGTAGGTTTAGTACTTAGAATATTATCCAGTGGAGCAAGTGGGATAATTTTCATGATACGGGTTTATGCAAGAGAGTGGAAATTCAAGTGTGAATTTTTTTTTTCCTCCTGTTTGATTTATTAATCACTTATGTAACTCTGATTACTATTATTTTATCAGTCTCCTAAATTCTGGTATTTTTTTTTTTTCCAACATGTTCCAATCTGAAATCGGTAAGGTGGATATTAAATAAAGATAGGCTACTGGGACCCAGAGACCTAAAGGCAAATTTAGGCATTTAAACAGGAGCTGAATCCTCCAAGATATTGAATGGCCACAGTTCCCACATCAGCTGCCAGTGTTCAATGTTAAAAAGGAGCCATTTTCTAGCTCTCAGGCACTGATTGAACTGTTCGGCAACAAGCATTTTAAGAAAATTTTGGCCCTTATATATTATTTTGGGGGATGAGGGGAGGCCCAGCTTGCTGAAGAAGCAGAAATTAATTCATCCCTATCTCTCATAGAGAACATGTCTATGTTTTTAATAGCCAGCAATCAATAGCCTGCAATAAAAAAAACCAGCTCTGAACATGGTAGTACCCACATCTCAAAACAACCGCTCAGGACTTCGAAAGAGCAGACCATGTGCATCCTCAGACTTAATGTGATAGAAAGACACTGAAAAGAATAGTCACTTTCAAAAACTGAACGAATGGCAGTTTGTCAAAGGATGTACAAGAAATTAGCAACAGAGCTATGATTCAGGCTTAGGAAATCTGGGCCTCAGCTCCCTCGTTGACCTGCAATGCAATATTCTCTCCAGCAATCCTAATGGATGCCTGGCAAATCTCTGCATTGAATGGCTTCTGCATTTTAATCTAATCTCTGTTTCTGTTATGTTTCCCTGAAGAACCAACAAACTATTTCACATTTTACCTGACACATATACTGAAAAAGTCAGTCTTTAGTTATTGTATGCCTTTTAATAGTTTTTATCTTCTGAAAATATAGACCAAGAGTAATGAAAATGTCTCTTCTCATGAACCAAGTGGGCTTTCTCCACATCCTGTCCATCAGTCATGGTTTCTCGGTGAAATCCAACAGAAAGAATATGACGGTGAAGGAAAAGCAACACAATACTTTGCTGCTACATAATTCTTTTCTCAACAGTCTGTTGTGCATCTTTTTTAAAGGGGGAATTAATGTGTCACAGAAAACAGAATACCAGGTGCAAATTTTGACTATGCTGAGAAGAGCCAATTGAATTTATAAGCTCTACTGACAATCAAGCAGCCTAATGAGTAAGCTTCCAATGAAATGCAGAGATAGATAGAGAGAGATATATATATATAAAGCAGTCAGCTCCCACATGTACATTGCTTAATAAGGTAAGTGACGGGTCTAGGACGTATGCGTCTTCTCAGATAATGACAGTTGTCACTGGTGTAATTTTGCACTGAGAGACCTTTGCCCTTTTGGCCTCCTGAATTATTTTTTTAAGGAAAGCAATTCAATTGGCACTCCATCTTTGCAACATCCAGACCGTTACCAAGAGTTTGTTCTTTCTCAAAGATCAAATATATGGCCCCAAATGTATTTGACTGTATTAAGCTTCCTAATAAACAGCAGAAGTGGAATGAGCACCTTGCAGATTCAAGCTTTCCTCTGGTGAATAAGCCTCCTAAGGCCTTGGCTGCAGAAGAAAACATTAGTGATTTAGCCAAATCAATTCTAAATCCAGCCTCATCAATGAAAGCCCCTTAGATGAACAGTGTTATTTTAAATTGAATTCTTTGCACTACAGCTTTCCATCCAAGTTAAAACTATTTATGCTTTTAAGCATAAATAACAGCATTCTCCTAAGATCAGTTACTAATTCTGTCTTTGGGAAAGCCTAAAGACTGGGTTTCCTTCAGCAACCCAGCTCAGCAGCTCAGCAACTGAAAAGCAGCAGCTCAGCAACTGGAAAGATCAGATGCAAATATTTCAAATCAAAACACTTCAAATTTGTGTCGTGCATGGCAACAGAAACTCCTCACGCCAGTTATCAATGAGGTAAGCTTTTTGCTTTTCATGATCACCTCAAACTGTGAGGAAAGCTGCGGAAAAGAGTGTCGGAAATGAGCTGTATCAGTCACACGGTGGCAAATCTAAGTGCTGCTCTCTTTTATCACCGAAGCATGTGAATGTCCTTGATATATATCTCATAGAGGCTTCACAACTGCCAGTTAAGGAGCACATGGACAGCTTGAGAAATAGTTCACAGCAGCTTGAACTCTAGAGCACACATTTGTCACTTGAGCAGAAGTAAAAGCTCTTCTCTCAGCAATATATATAGCCTTGTTATGTTCTTGTCAGGTGAGATGTTACCAGATCCAGGTTTAGATTCTCTTAGGGATTTGCCCTCAGAGAAGAGGGGACCTCAATGCTTCACTCTGAAATCCTTAACTCAAACCTGCATCTCCTAATGAGTTCCTTAAACTAAGGGACTTTCTCCACTGAGCTTTTTTGTGCATTTGAAAAATTTTCAGAAGGGAGAAGCAAATATAGCACCCCAAACACAGGACCATATCTAATTTTATCCAGTCTAGGGCAACAGCATGTGCCCAGACAACATAGTCACCAAGGGTAAGAGGAATACCCATATTTGTGCATGACACCAATCAAGAAAAAAAGGAAATGCCTGCAATGAACAAAAAGATGACTGTGGTGAGCTCTGGAGGAACTTGCACTCATATTACAGGCTGTCAGGAGTTGCAGCTGTGACATTAGAAGCCAGCAATGACACTCCCTATAGCAGTCAGCCCTATCTGAACCCACAGATCCTGCTCTGCTGCTCAGACACAGCCCCACATTAGCAGTCTGGGCCAGGTGCAGCATTAGGCTGCAGTTTAGCATCCAGGAACTAACAGAGGGGCAGTGCTGGCTGACACAGAATTGAATGTGTCAGTGAAAAAAGGGGGGGGGGATGGGAGAGGGCTGGAGCTTCGGGGAAATGCTTGGGGGCGACGTGGAAGGAAAGCGCAAGAGTGCTTACCACGCAGGCAGATTCTGGAAAGCTTTGAGAACTTTAGAAAAGCAAGTTAACCCAGCACCATGGCTACTGTGTGGAGCTGATGTCATCTGGCTGTGCATAAAAGCCTCCACTTTTTCTTCTTTTGTGCAGTCCCAGAATGACATCACCTCGAAGCACAAGAACGTACCTTTGTGCTTCAGCACTTCCCCTGCTGGCTCCTGCCATACATCTCACTCCTCCCGCATATGTCCCTCCTTTGCCCAGAAATGCTCCTTGACCTCCGCTGAATGCAAAACACCACTGTCTAGTCAGGGAGAGCCCAATGGGAACCCGCAAACGCCAGCAGTCTGTGGTAGTGCAAAGGAGCTCCTATTCAAACAATGTATAGCATGCCGTACACCTCAGCAACCCACAGTGGGGCCTCTGCAGCCGATTTCAGCTGCTTTACAATGCTGTCAAAGCTGAATGGTGTGAACTGATTAGACAGACAGGGCAACTGTGGCGATTTAATTATTTTCAAGGTTGGATCCTCTTTGATGGGAAGTACAACGGCACACGATTTAATCTTGTTACAGTCCAATATTGCTGTTAAAGAAGCAGAGTGAAAAAGTTGCATTTGTAGACTCACTTATGAAGAAACTGCAAACATAGTTTGCAGTTGGACAGTCATGAACAGATTTGTTTATATGTGTATGCTTGCCTATTTAATGAGGCCTTGAGAGCCTTCGTGACGTGCAAGAACAAGAGCAAAAACACCCAAAGCACATCCTGGACAAAGTTATTTCATGCAGAGAAGGGGGCTGGGATGCAGCTGGAAGTGAACACACTACCCAAGAAAACAAGCACCACTAAAATAAACTAGAGAGAAGCCTGCACAGAAAACACAAGTCTATAGGAATGGGGCAAACTGAGGGCTGTTTCCCATTAGAAAGCCCAAAACACCCACAATTCCCCTGTAATAGCATATATCTCCGGTTCAGTACAGAAATTCCGCAGATGCCCCCCATCCCTATGCCTACTCCTGCAAATGAAAGCATATTTCACTAGCAGCCCTCATTCTCTGATCGGATGATCTTCAAAGGCATGCATGTGCAGAAATATCCACCGGGAAAATATTTGAGGAATTATGAGGAAATGCAACATTTTTAGAGCTGTAATGAGTTATTTCTACCTAGCTGACACAGGGTGGCATAACCTGGGACCCCATTACACATACAAGGAAGAAGGAAACATACCTTCCCAGAGGAAACCTGGTTAACTTACCATTAACATGCCACAGCATCTGGAACCCACTTCTAGCGTTCAGTCCATCAGAATAGAACACCACATGAAGGCTGGTCCCTGTAGTGCTCCCTGCCAGTGGAAGAGACCGTCCACAGAAAGTGCCTATCAGGTTGGATTGTACATTAGGCCCATCATAGAGCTGAAATGACACAAAATATATCCCAGTGAGTAAAAACCAGCTCCCCAATTCTTAAAGCTTCTTAATGCTTAATGCTGGATGTCAAAGAAAAAGCAGTAAGACTTCTCGCACTGGCCACCTTTGCACAGCAATATGACTTCTAGGGAGCATGGAAAGATTTGGATCAAATGATGAGCAAACATAACTGCAATATATCTTTAAACCTGGCTGCACACTGTGTACAGTAGGAAGGTTTTACTGTTTCTGTTTTGGTGTGTACTGGGGGTTGCTGGGGAAGAAGACAAAGGGCAAATGGCAATGAACTGAAACAGAATGAAAAAGAGGATGCCACGGATCTGATTTGACCATGCATCTAACATGCGCAGTGCCTCCAAATCCCTTGGTGACAACTCTGTTTACATCTTCATTTGTTTAAGACTGCACTCAGGTGATTTCAGAACTGACTGAGCTTGTGATGGAGAAAAACAAGCAGTCAGCATCACCAGGGCCTCCCAGAGTAGTGAGGATAAACTGAAAACTGAAAGCAAAGTAAATCCTCAAAAACCACAAGGCAAACTTCACATCTGCTTATTTATTGTTTTGTGATCTTATGCTAGTATTCTGCTTTGGAGAAGTGGACTGAGTCATGCTTTCTGAACTTTTGTACTTAGAAACACTCTATGTTTGATCTCCTAGTCATATTCTACGTGATGGTATTTTGACAGTCAGCGTGTTGGCAGATATAGACAGCCTGAAAATCTTTCTGTTCCCCAAACACAGATGAGAAATGCTCCATCCCACTCTTAGAACATCACCACTCTAAAAAAAAAAAAAAAGGTGTAAGGAAATATTCCTGGTTTAAATTTTTAAATTTTGAAATCTGAATTTAGTCATATACTCACATTTAAATGAAAACACTTAATACATGTTTTGATGGGGTGAGAGTGGATGCTTAGATCTTTTAAGCCTCTTTGCATTAGTTGTCTCCAAACAGGTTTAAAGGGTCTTTCAAATCCTAGTTTTGTGACTTTTTTCAAATCCAGTAAACCACACTGAATATGCATCTAGGTTCCTCACCAAACACCCCAATGCTCAGTGTCATTTTTCAGGGATGAGGTGTATAATTTTTGCAAAACTGGTAAAAATGAGACATTTTAGCAAATTGCCTTTGACTTATGATATCAGATTGCCAGTTGTTGTCAAGTTAGGAGTTGCTTTATTATTTCTACTTTTGTTACTATGGTTCTTAAAGTTTAGAAAAACAGCAACCCTTGTGCTTTTTTATCGCTTTGCCATCCCATCTTCTGTCTCACAGAGCACATCTTCCTTACACAACCTAGCAAACTGCTGGCACAGAAACCATGTCTGAACATTCTCATTGTGAATTTTTGGCATGTTTCCTTTCAGAATTTCAAGAAAAAACTTTTCTCTGTTCTGAAGCCATCACCGTAAAGTTCTCTCCCTGCAAAGAATCAAATATCTGATCTCTAGAAAAACAGCCAAAGTTTATTTATCTTTGCTGTCCATTCAAACCTCTTTTCCAAATATCTCTGATTCCACTAAGAATTCTCCTACACTCAACCCCCATACTATGGAAGTATGATATTACAGTAAATATTGATTAACCATGCTAGCTACTATTTTTTGCACACATTTTCTAGCAGACTTACATATGGGGATGAGTAATTAAACCCTCAGCTTTTCTGTTCAAGATGTTGGTTTTGCAGAACCTTCAGAAATCTTATTGATTAGACAGTTGGGGCTAAGAAATCTACTCAAATGGTTTAAAATCCTCAAGCAAACAGTCTAGGTTGAATGTTTTTTTTTTATAAAAAATAAATTAGATGCAGTTCAGCCAGAAGTTAGGGACAAACTGCAGGAATAATTCTATGGTAATATTCCAAGGCTTATTTTATGGCTGCTGACCCTGAATCTTTTTGCTTTGCAATCTTCCGATGTCATGAAAAGCTCCGAGTGTGAGAAGTATATTGGAACTTGAGAACTGTCACTCCATTTGGTATGATTTCTCTACGTGAAATCAGAAAAACTTGAAAGTTTCTGATTGCAGACCCATTGCTGGTAGTTCTTGCAAAGCCTTGATCAAATGTGTTTGATAATAGATATGATATTGTTATAAAGATAAGATGTTAAGAAATTGAACATCCATCTGTATTCTTTCCAAATGCAAAGTTTGAAGGACTGCCTGACAGGCCAGCTGTCCCATGCCCAGCATCACAGTTACGACCTTCCTCCAAGCCAGGCTGAGAGCTTTACACATTCTTTTATGGCTTAACTTCAGCAAAATGAAATAAAGTCAGATCCAATTAGATTTTTTAATAGTACTACTTCCTTTGACAGCTTTGTGGTATATACTACTCATATTTCTGTGGCTTCAAGGCATGGAAATCTTACACCAGAAAACTATGAATGATGAAGAATGCATCAATGTGGAGATCATGAATCTGTGCTCTGAATAGAAGCAAAAACTATGTTAAGATACATATTCAACAATCAGCCATTAGCTTTCATGATTACAAATGAAAAACCATTCTGAAGAACTATGGACTAAGTCATACGCAAAAACTTTCAAATAAAAAAAAAACCCAGCCTGCAACTTTGATCCATCAAAGGAGTGTTATTTTGATCTAAGATAACAAATGTCACATTTCTATGTAATTTTCCCTGAAAACAGTCTGTCAGTTTTTGGAGACACAAACAATGGTTACTATGGCAATCCCTTCATGCCGCGCTGCCCCGTGGGTCTGGGTTCAGAGCGGAGTTTCGCAGGAAATTTGAGTGCCTGGCCAGCTGTAACTCATTGAGAGAGGCAGAACCGCGACTGCTAGAATTACAGCGGGGTTTTTTGAGCTGTCTTTCACTTCTAAATGAAGGGAACAGCTGTGTGTTTTCACAGGGCATTTTGAACTTCTCAAGCCACATTTTGCTCTCACGCAAATACAGGCAAATGAAACTGAAGCTGAACACAGATCTCATGAGCCACAATTTCTCTTCTGATCTCTGAGATAGTGTTTCACGTCTAAGGGCCTGCTTTGTCAGCTGTGCTATCCTAAATTGCTGCAAATCAAGGGAAGGTTCTTCCCCAGGCTATATGAGGCAAGGTACTTCCTTGGGCTGTGCAAGACAATTGAATTTTGGGGCAGTTTATTAGCCACTCCAGTACCTTACTGACTCTAAGAACTGGGGATTGGGCTCCCTCCCAGCTCCTCATTGGGAAGAAAGCGCTTGCTCCCTTTCTGTGTAGATATTTGTTTTGTAATTTATTTATTTGTTCAGACCTCTTAGCCGCCATCAGAAAATCCAAGGACTTCATAATGATTTTGGCAGACAATCCAAGAGGCAAAATATGCAAACAGCTGCAGCACATGTTCAGATCCTTGGCCTCCCCTCTTTAACTGAAGCAGTTGCCCAGCAGCATCCAGAGTGCTCCATCAGCCTGCACCCCAGCACCGGGCCCAGATGGGGATGCAGTACGTTCAGACGAATTATTAGGCATAGGCTCAATAACTGTTATGAGAAACTCCTTATCAGGCTGCCTAGGAGCAAGCACAGAGGCTGACGCAAAAGTAAAAAGGGGAGGTACTAGCTCTCTAAGGGATGAGTCAAGCTGTGGGACTGCCCTGCAGCAAAGTGGCCGCTGAAAGCCATCTGCTGTACATTGGAGTGGGGCTGGGGCAGCAGGACTAGCCAAGGCTGCAGGAAGGGTTTGGCTTGTGTAGCTCTCCCAGAGGAGACACCAGTATTGCATTTTGGCTTTTCTGACTTTTCAGCCTGGAAATATGTCGCTGACACCAGTAGCGATGCTCTGGAGGCCACAGCTGTTCACCTTTCTTTGGAGGAGCAAAGCAAAGCAGCGTGACCTGTATCACAGAGAGGCTCATTGCCAGAACCGGAGCAAGGGCTCAAGGACTTTGCTGACCGGAAAATGGAGTTTCTGCTGCGTGGAAAGAGATAAAGATCTCAAACAAATAAGAGGAAAGAAACTTTGAACGTGTTCCATTTGGGCATACTTGAAGCAGGGACGCTTTTCTAGCCAAGCGCCTTGTCAAGCTTATTCCTTCTTGCAAAGTGAGACTGGTAAGAGCCTCCCAGGCAGGTAGTGGGACTCCATCTGTTCAGTTTTCCTGGCAGAAAACTGATTTTTTTATTAGGGCAAAATTTCTATTTTCTCTTGGAGAACTTTATTTTTGTGAAAAGGCATGGTTTTTCATCAGGAAAATCATTATACAGTAAAACCTCCAGCCTAACCTGCTCTGGAAAAAAGCTGCTTACATACATTAGTTAGGCACAACACATTGTCTCAAGCCAGAGATGATGGAGTCAACAAAGACAAACTTTCAGTTTCATATGAGGGGAAAATCCATCCCACAAATACTGACAATTCTCATTTAATTGTAAATAATTCTATTATCAGATGTCATTAATTCATTATATGAGTAATTATATCAATAATTGTCTCAATTTGAGTCTTGAAACAAATTGCTTGCAGTTTGAAAGCCTTTTTTACAGCTACCAGCAGCAACAGCCCTGGGCTGCATTTGCAGAACTCAGGAAAGGAGCTTGTGCCTTGGATCAGACCAGCACAGCTGTGAGTGTCCCACCCATCACTGGCGCCTCTAGGACATCTTCGAAGAGATATACTGACGCACACAAGTATCTCTTTCCTCTTAGAAGTGAGAAACCTGATATGGGACTGTATCTAAATACTAGAAGCAGCGATTACAGATATCTGAGCAGCTCTTCCTGAATGGGTCATTTTCTGGAAAGGAAATTCTGATGGCATCACAACATATATGTTGCCAGAAAACAAAATGAAGCAAAACCCAGACAATACAATCATCATCCAAGTAACAGAATGCACTCCAAAGTGAGATCATTAATTGTTAAAGCAAGAATTAACACAAATTTTAAAAACCCTTTTCCATGCAACATATTTTCTTCTAGAAGAACTAGAGTGCAAGCTTAAGAACCTGTAGGTCTATCAGCCAGAGGAAAAAAACAAA